GAAAGGGCAGAATGTCTTGATTCTGACATTTCAGATACTACAAAATCTGCTTTCAGAATTTTATTCAACTGTTACTGATTTCTGCCCTTGAAAATAACATTTGTACTTTGGAAAATAGCTACAAATACAGTAATTTCTACAATACATATTTTATATTTTTGTATAAATTCATAAACTTTTTGCACAGGACAATATATATTTAAAAAATATATGAAAACTTGAATATATGATGAAATAGAAAGTTTTCCTTAAGGAGGAAGCAGGGTATTACCCATTCCTTAAACACAGGCTGAAATTCTGACAACACACTTATCACAGATGATTATGCTGAACTCTTCCTTAACAATGCCAAAGGTAGCAGTAGGTTTTAAATCCATTTTTCTGGTCCATGTTCTTGGGGTGAGGAGGCTAGGTTTAAAACACAATTGCACTAAATTTGGAGGTATTTCCAATTAATATTTTATTTTATTCTCAAATACTATTTAATATAAACATGCTTAATTAACTTGCACAATTTTAAATGGTCCAACTACATCTATGAGCCCCTATAGCAGCAGTTTTCCCAATATTGAAAGTCTGACGCATTTGAGCATACCAATGGTTCTACTGCATTTGATAAGTAAATGATAAACATTCAGCTGAACAACACTGAAGAGTGGTGAGAAGAGTTCTAGTCATAACTGACAACATACCAATAACACAAGCAGTCCAAATTGACTGCAAATTATCAAGGAATGTGAAAAAAAGCAGTATTTCAAATTACGTACCAAAAACCAATACTGTAGTTGGAAACTGGCTAGAATGGCTAGTCACAGCATAAGAACCTAGCATGCCATATATTTGTATTTACCCTAACAGTTCAAAACCTAGCTCTAGGCCATTTTGGCTTTCAAATCTAGATAGAAGGCTGATCCATGCAGGATGGTCTTTAATAGTCTCAGCATAAAACACAGGACGCTTTGCTGCTTTAAACATGATGAAAAGTATAATTGCTTCTGTTTGCTTAATGGTTTGTTTTGCTCAGTTTTTTTTTTTTTCTTTTAACTTTGGAAAAGAAAATAATTATCTCTAGTGTTTCTACTCAATACTAAAAGTGTCAGACTAATCTGATGAGTTGACAGAACGTGTCAGTATTTAGACTGAAGTGTTCACCATCTGTGTGAGGTTGTGGGCCTGACTGTCACTTAAAAAAGAGGCATCATAGGGGAAATGATTTTAGAAACTCATTATTTTTAAAATTCATGATTTTGAATAGCAAGTATAATTTACAATTGTAAAGATTATTTACAATTCAATAATTTTAGGTTGGAATCACTATATATACACATATATGTTGTTTCTAAAACTTTTCCTAACACTCCTTCAAGCCCAGTTCACTTTCAGTTATTTACACATTTCTAGCATATAGCCCTGGGCTTCAAATTTATCTTTGATAAGATCTTTGATGATTTAAAAAACATCAATCTAGATTTGGGATTTTTAAACTTACAAGTGTCTACAGGCTATGAACTTTTCCCGCTCCTTTTGTAAACTCCTACATATACAGACTGTGTAATTACAACCTCAGTTCCTCTGAGCTCCAAAGAACAGACAGGTTATTACACCTTCAGACAGATGGAGAGAGGAAGGACTAATGGAACTGCATGGGCTTGTGAACTATATGTGTCCGTGATGTCCAGCTGACAAAATAACTTTCATTTCTACTTGCCAATGGCAGTGTACATGTCTGTATCTAACCCTTTGGTGACTTCCCAGAAAAAACCCTAATATTTGGAATCAGATTTTGGACGTTCATGGGAAAAGCTGCTGTTGCTACATTACCTACCACACAAACTCCCAGATGCCTCATTGGTAGCTCTGTAGTTCAAAAAGGTGCAAGGAAACAACAGGTTTTTTGCAAATGCAGAGATCAAAACTGTTTTGGTAAATGAAGGACAAAAGAAATCTCATACTTCTGCCTTGTGATGGTTCCCTCTCTGTCATTCTTTATTTCAAGATAGATGTCTCCTCTGGTATTTATTATTAAGGAGTTCAAGCAGTCTTGGAAAATATTTGATAAGGCTTGTTTGGTCCCTAAGCAAGAGCAGAGGTGCTTTCAAGGTCTAGATTCTATCAGCCTTGTGCTATTAGCATTAATAAGGGAACAGGTGAGTAAATATTATGGTTTAAATGAAACTCATTCAAAGTTTCAAACTAGGAAAGGAACATGGAATGAATTTGTAGAGGAGAAAAAACAAAACCTGAAAGAAATTGTCTGTCATAAATGGCATGAATTTCACTCATACTTAAGTGAGAAGTAATGTAAGATATTTACTGCTTTCTTGGGCATTTGAAAGAGGGTGCAAGATAATGGTTAACAAGACACAGTTTTTAATGGACAGATGATCTAACTTAAGCTCCTTTGGGGGAAAAAGAGAGAAGAATCCTAAAATTCACACAAATCACCTCCCAACACTTCATGCACCTGAAAAAGGCTGTCCTTTCCAGGATGATCCCTGTACTATGCAATTGGGTGTACACACTCCCCTTCTCAGAAGGCTGAACCCTTCAAATACAGCTCTGCTCTCAGGGCAGACTGGCACAGGGTATGCTGCAGGGGCGTGCCACTGGAACATCCAACCACTCCAAATCACACTCGGCTGTGAAACACAGCTCGGCCAGGAATTTTAACGTATGTGGTGAGTGCTGCTGACAATCAGAGAACTGAAACTGGAGAAGAGCTAACAAGCAGATTTCTCCCTAAAAATCCCATATTTAGCACTCTAGTGTACAATTATTAACAAGTAAGAAAGCTACTGGACACTAAAAGATGAAAATCAACAGAGGGAGCTTGACAATTCCTCTGTCGGCAGAAGAGAGTATGCCAAAATAAAACAGAAGTAATGAGAACTTGTCTTATTGACAAAAATTTCTGCAAGAGTACCAGGACAGCATCTGAAAAATCTTAAGTTACTGCAAGGGTGCCATTCTACAGAACCATAAAGTTGTATCCACACCAGTGAAATAGACAGGCCTTGGAGTGTCCTTAGGCATCAGATCCAGCCGGAATAGAATAACTCACATCCAAGTTATTAACCTCCCCTTTAAAAAAACAGGATGCTTATATTCAAACTCCTAAGTAGGAATATCTTAATTAACACCTTTATTCTTGCCCAGAATTATTAGGGAGACAATAAGCTGGCCCAAATCAAAACCACAGTGAGCTCAAGTGCCAGTGGATAGTATCTGGCACTGCACTGTTTGCTAGCAGAAGGCCAAACTGTGTAGGACAATTTGGCAAAGGCCAATCTGTGTGGGACAACTTGGTCAAGGGAATAATTAATACCTTTCCACCAGGACAATGGGTTTGCTAGACTTTGAAAAGCAAGTGAAGATAAGCTTTGCATGCCTGAAAAACATATAGAGAAATGGGAGGACAAACTGCTGTATTGAGTGATCCCAAGCATTCAACTTCTGGCAGCAGCACAGAGGACACGGTGTCAGCTGTCATTAGAGCTAGTGGATTTAATTTAGATCTTGTTCAGCACATTGCTGAAGATACTGAAATGAATTTACTTAAATAAAAAAAATCCAATTATTAAACTGTCTTTGTACTTGAATGCTTCTGTACTTAGTTTTGTACAGTGCTTTCAACTTCTGAGACGAAAAGAAATACAAGTTCTATCTTTATGAATCTCTTGGATGCATCTTTGAGAGCTATTTTATACGAAAGATTTACCAGCATAAAGTGAAATTAGGTCCCTGGTAGAGATAAATTTCAGATCATTATTCCTTGTAACCTAGCCTAATATGAAGCCTGATGTTGGAAAGCATTAATGAAAAAGATTCCAAATTATTAAATTCATTAATGTTAGCACTGTCTTCATTGATACTCTTGAAAATTACTGTTTTGAAAAGCAAAATGATTTTTCAGCTGAATTAAGTCTCAAAATCTGTATCATTAATACTCGCTTCTAATGCCAAATATGAAACAGACTGAAACATTAATTCTGCTGTACAGCTTCACAGATCAAACACTTTCAGATCAAAACTAAACTTCTAAGTTAGAAAACTCACATAGAAATAACCCCCAAAATACAATTAGATAAAAATTAATGTATTAAAAAAAAACAACTACTACAAACAAGAACATTGCACAACAACAAATAAACGACCTAAACAATAAAAAAGCCCAACCCTAAATGTCCTTAAGTCTTTACATGGAATTCCAATCCACAGAAAGGAGAAGGAAAGTTGAAAGAGGGACAAAAACCCCTTCCTATTGCGCAGCATATTTTAGGTGATTTTTAGAGGCTTTTCTGACTTCTGTAGCTTTAGAACGTATTCAAACAGATGTGGGGCTAAGAAAATTAGCACTGATTTTATTAAAGCCTTTTGTAATTCCCAGGTTCTGCTCCCCTCTGTGCCAGCCACACAAACTATGCACCAGCACAGTATGGAAGCTATCAAGGCTGATCTGCTGTTCACTTTTAACTTTAGAGTTGTGTATGAAAATTCACATTATCAAAACACATTTTTTTAATAGTAGGATTTTTACATTAATCATATCCATTCTTAATTTCTTATATAATACAACTTAAAATCTTTGAAATCTGTTCTGAAACACAGAACATTCACAAACCAGACTAGAAAGAGAAAGTCACCTGCAGCATTCATACACATGTACACAGACTTCTTCAAGCAAGTCCATAATAAAATATCTTCAAGCCTGGGAGTCCACTAGCCAAAAGAAAGGCCACCTTTTTAGAAAGACAAAGGACCTCATAGCCTCCAAGTTACCTCTATCATGTAGGCAAGTCTTTTTTATGAAACGCTAGTGTAGATATTTAGATAAGTCCATCCTTGTGAATTACAGACATACAGTAAATTGGTGATGCAAAAGGGAAAAAGCTTGAAGTGACTCTTTTTCCATAATTATTAAAACTTTTAAGCCTCTAAAAAAGATAGGCATTCTGATATCTCAGAAGACCTCCCACAGCTTGGCAGAGTTCATTTATTACCTGATGGTACTTCTTCAGTATGTTGTGCATTTCTGCTACATCTTCACTTGTTATAGTTTTGATGATATATCTTTTGTCGTAAGACGTATGAAAGCGGGCACCACTGCGTGCTTGGGAATCATTGGCAAGGGGTGCACTTCTTGTCAATGAATTCTGTCAATTGATCAAAAAGCATCAAGTCAGACAAAAGTATGTCACTTATTTAGAGCACATATAAACAATTTACACTTATTGAAAAATATTTTTCAATATATCTGCACCAAGCTGAATTCTGAAAAGCACGTATTCACAGACTACATTATAATAAGAAAACACTTCAAAAATATTGGGAAGAAAAGCATGTTTGAGGAGGAAGGTATTGCTAATCAATGGTTCAAAACACATCCTCAATGTTGAATGAGAATTTACTGGACATTGGTACACATACATTATCAGCTTTGAGGAAGAAAACACAGAGTAATTAAAAATCCAGAAGGAACACTGCATTACACCACAATAATTATAAAGAAACAATTCATCATAGTTATAGTTTCACTTAAACATAGCATAGCTCTTGAGACAGTGTGATCTGGTACATAACTAAGATCACAGTTATATTTGAGTTCTAGTACCAGAGCTACTCCAGTGATTTCATAGCTAGAGTTAAGCAAATAATATTGTACAATACCTCCTTTCGTAGAATAAGCCTACCTCCATACTGTCTCAAGAGGAGAAAATTAATGACTGTAGAGCATTTAGAATAGAGATTAAGGACTATTTTTAGAGTGAAGTTTAAAATTACTGGTGCTTCAACAGAAGAAAGAGAAGCCTTCTGCTTTTTTCAGAGATTAAGTGGTATTAGGTTAGATTTCTTTGCACTTATAAAAACAAAACCAAGAAAAAAACAGACTAAGTATAACAACTTTTTTGCCTGGAAACGTCCTTCTTTACCAGTAAGAATTTATGCCAATTGTTATATACTTGAATTGCACTAAACAACAAAAAAAAAGCAGTAATAGCAGCAACACAGCCATAAGAAAACAATGATGTTTTGGACCCCTTGTGAATTTCCGTAAGTACCGACATACTCTGAAAAGGTTAAACAAGTTAATGTTAGACTGCTGGAACACTTCTGTGTTTATGAAACAAACTTGCAGCAATCATCTGGTATGTCCCTACTCCTAGCAGAAAACCCCAGCACCTGCTATCCTTCCTCATTGTACATTGCTGCAGAAACAGCTCTTGTTAAATTGAAATATCTCTCCCTTCTTTCCACATTCATATAGCATTATGCTCTTCCTGCTAGGTAAAAAGCCATTTTACTTTCAAAGATAATTTAAATAAAATTGTATATATATATATACAAAGATTGTAGATTCTTAAACAGCAAAAGTTCAGCTCCAACAGTTACAGAATGAATGTTAGTGTGGTGTGGTAAGGCACCATGAACTAGGTCACAAAACAGATTTGCAGTAGAAGAACAATGATGCTCTGAGAGAGTAATTACCAATACACTTCACCTACCACACTCAGATACCAAACCCACACAATCTTATTTTTACAGGACCTATGTTTTACTTAGAGGTTTTAACCATTGGTAAATCTGTTTACACGCTCTATGGACTTCAGCAGGAGCTGGACATGCAGATTCAACCCCTGCGACAGACGGTCAGTAATTTATTAAGAAGTAATAACCTCAACCAAGAAATTAGGGTAACTATAGCCCCCAGTTTAAGAAGACACTTGAACACATACAATTATGTCTCTGTATTTTGGAGATCCATTGATTTCAATAGGCCTTCAGGCATTGTTTAATTTATCCCAACTGTGGGGTGCTTTCTGAAATCAATTTAACATAAAATAAAACCATTTTCCCACAAGGTTACTTAGTTCAACAGAAATACTCAGGAATAGCAGAAATAACAGTAAATCACCTAAAAGCACACAGCTCTACAAGGGCTTATTAGAATGAAAACCTTAATTATGACATGTAGGAGAAATAAATCTTTTGCACTTCTTTCTATATATTTCTAGGCTTGCACAATGAACCAGAATAATTACTGATGTCTATGATAAAAAGTGACATCTTTCTCTATTATCCTCTCTACTCAGTAATGAATGAAAGGATGTGGGTGCTTCTTTAAGGTTTATAAATCAACATTTTTTCTAGACTAATCAGAAGAGAGCTTTAGGGACACTGCTGGAGATACTGCAGTTTCTTCTCTACACTGGCTTTTGGACAGTCAATTTTAACAAATATAAGTCCTGATACACCATCACCTCATACAGTATTGAAGATAGTAGAGACTTCAAGTATTACAACAGTTTTCTCTGTCTCTTTTCGGACTTTTACTGTTGAAATTGATTTCCCACCACTCCATCACTGTAAAGTTTTAATGTGCCGAGGTCTATTTAAGGAAACAAGTATTATAAACGGATTACATTTTCTTAATGCTACACTTGATACCAGTACTCCATTAATTTTCAAATTGAATTGTGGAGGTAGCGGTAGAAACCCTTTGTGTTCTACAGTCAGAAATTGGTTTTGTTTCCAGGCCTATATTTAAAAGTTCAGATGAAGAGCTGATAATAGAAGATAAAATAAAAAAATAAGTACAAATTCAGTTGCCTTCATCACAAATTGAAAATATGATGTAATGTAATAATTATTTTTAATTTAAAAAATAAGTGAATGCATGGGTATCCATTAGTGTATGTAATGAATTAAACTACTGATAAGTTATTCAGCTATAATTCAGCAATAATAAAGGCTACTAAGTAATTACGTGTTATTGTTCCCAGCAGAAAAGGGTACATTATTCTGAGGTTAACTGTTGCAATAAAGCAGTAACCACAGTATTCTGAATGTATTTTTCCCACAGAACTCTGGTCTTCAGACTGTAATCCATATAATATAAACCTTGAAAGCAATTAACCTGACAGGAGATTTAAGTTGTTTAGCTATAAAAAGCTGCAAAAGAGGGTATTGGCTAGTTGGCTACTGAACATCTGAAGCACGAGAAGGAAAATGTGAAGTACATGAACTCAAAGTTTCAAGTACTCTTGAAATTTTAATATCCTTTCTGGAAAGATTTTCATATTTGAGTGAAATACAAGCCTGGGTTGTACTTGGTATAATAGAGATGCTAGTTGACTGGACACTAGAAAATGCGATGCCCATCTATAAGATGGCACCCAGAAGGAAGATCCAGGGTCTGTCAGACCCAGAAGGAAGATCCAGGATCTGTACAGTCTGTCAGTCTGCCCTTGGTGCCAAGGAAGGTCATGGAGCAGATCCTCTTGAGTGCCATCACACGGCATGTACAGGTCCTGCTTGACTGACCAGATCTCCTTTCTATGATAAGATGATCCATTTAGTGGATGGGTGAAAGGCTGTGGATGTCCCTACCTGGACCCCAGGAAAGCCTCTGGCACCATTTCCCACAGCATCTCCTGCAGGAACTGGCTGCCCATGGCTGACCCGGGTGCTCTGTTGGATGCGTAGGAAACTGTTGGCATGGCCGGGCCCAGAGGGTGTTGGTGAATGGAATCACATCCAGCAGAGCTCCCCAGGGCTCAGCGCTGCCACCAGCTCTGTTTAATCTTTCTCAGTGACCCACGTGAGGGGATCCAGGGCACCCTCAGTCAGTCTGCAGACACACCGGGCTGGGTGGGAGTGTTGAGCTGCTGAAGGCTCTGCAGGGGGATCTGGACAGGCTGCAGGGATGGGGAGACCCAGAGCTCTGAGCTTCAGCAAGGCCAAGTGCCTGGGCCTGCTCCTGCCCCTGGGTCACAACAGCCCCTCCAGCTACAGGCTGGGGCAGAGTGGCACCAAAGATGCCTGGAGGAAAAGGTCCCGGGGGTGCTGGTCAGCAGCAGCTGAACATGAGCCAGAGAGTGCCCAGGCGGCCAAGAGGCCAATGGCATCCTGGCCTGGACCAGCAACAGTGTGGCCAGCAGCACCAGGGCAGTGACCATAACCCTCTACTCAGGACTGCTGAGGCCACACCTTAAATCCTGGGTTCAGTTCTGGGCCCCTCAATTCAGGAAGGACATTGAGGTGCTGGAGAGAGTGCAGAGAAGGGAAATGGAGCTGGGGAAGGGTCTGGAGCACAAGTCTGATGAGGAGCCAGCTGAGGGAGCTGGGGATGCTTAGCCTGGAGAAAAGAAGGCTCAAGGGCGACCTTATCACTCTCTGCAACTGCCTGAAAGAAGGTTGCAGCCAGGTGGGAGACGGTCTCTTCTCCCAGGCAGTACTCCCAGGTAGTAAGCAAAAGGACAAGAGGAAATGGCCTGAGGTTGCCTTCATCTAAACAGATCCCTGTTTTTCCAGCAGTAGCTTTTTCTTCCCCTAATTAAAATTTATTCTGCCTGATTGCTAACTATAATAAAAATCTGTTTGCAAATACAAATATCATACCAAAAATGTCGCTAACAAGAAAATATATCTCTGGATAATTATTTAGCTGCACTTTTTCTTAATGTTTTAATGGGTTACAAATAGCGATGGATTTATTTTTAGTAGATGGTTATTTTATTAGTAGTTATTCTATATCAAGATTAATTAAGAATGCACATAGCTATCATTTTACCACATGCATATTAATTTGTCAGAATAAACCAACCAACTCTATGCTAAGCAGCATCTTTCCATACATGCATAGATAACACAAGTTCCCTCTCTACAATACTTTTCCTCTACTAATAAATTAAGAGCAAATGTTTAAACATTAAACATGTTTAAATAAAAAACAATCTCTACTTAAACCTTTAATTAAAGTCTTTGTGACTTTATTTTTACTAACTCTCCACTCTTGCAATAGCTCTCTCAATACAATGCACTTTTCAGATACCCAATGTAGTCACTTTGAACTGTAAAAGCACATGGAACATTTAATATTACTATTTTCTGTATTTTCTTTTGATACTTGCCCAAGTTTGTTAAATAAGTGTGGTTTAAAAAGCAAAAAAATAAATCTAATAATATCATATTGTGCACATTACTAGAAATTGCCACTTTCTTGTGTTAATACATAGTTGAGTTTTGTCAGTAGATTTTATTTGCAATGGTTAATTCTCCCTTCTGTGAATAGAGAAAAATTCAAATTCCTTCTAAAGTAAACCTTCCAGGTACCTTGCAAAATACCCTGTCTCTCAACTATACTAGTTATACT